GCAGAGTAGATATATCTAGATGTTTATCCATTAAGCTGTTAATTAAAGGCGCATCGTTTTAAATTGCAGCCTTGATCACCTATTACAATATAATTTTTATTTTCTTATATGCTATTTTAAACTAATAGTTTTCTTTTTATCAATTGTTCTCTTTTTGCTTCCAGTCTTCCGATCTACCTTGCCATTGGGCCTCACTCTTCCATCTTCTCCACAATCTGCTTCTACCTATGCTACAATGAATGCCGATCAGGCTTCATCTCCTTCCTCTTCTGTCCCCCCTAGTGCTGCTTCTCAATCTTCATTGATGGTAGAAGCGGACTTGAAAGTAAAAAGCCGCTATCACTTGTTGTCCCCTGAAAAGAGAGAAGAGTTAGAAGCAATTGAGGCTCGACAGATATTGGAACAGATGCGTCAAGACCGCTTCGCTCTCTACGAGGATAGAAAGCGTGCACTTGCCTCTATTGAGGAGGACCGTAACAAAAAGAAGTGAGTAAACCACCTAGAAGACCACCCTTCGCATTATGTCTACCATGGATTTTTCATCATCATCATCATTGTTGCTTTTATTGGCAACTAAACTGCAGGCATTTTATCCTGTGATCAAAGGTATTTTTGGTACTGCTGAACTTGCAATAAAAATTATTTTTTACAATCTACTAAGGCTCTTAACTAGCTAGTGACAGCACCTTTTTGTGGACTTATGGAGCATGGCTGAATTTATCATTTAGCAACTAGCTTATTTAAGGCACAGCTGATTATTTATCATGCATCATTACTCCCCTGTTGAAAATGTTAACCGATGATATACTTTTCTTTAACTAATGCTGAGAAGTGGCCACTTGATTTACAGTAAACTATCAAAAATGCAAATGTCTAGAAATGCTACCACTACTTTAAAGTGTTTTTTTTTCATTATTTCAATGAGTGGATATATGTAGATTTGTTTGATGTTTGCCTCGGCCTTCATAAGTTTTGCTAGAAATTCAATGCACATATCATTGCATTGCAACCTCTTTCATGCTCTGATAATCCATGTTGTTTAGATTATTCCCTGATTTAGTTAAATATTATTATTTTATATTATGGCCCTTCTAGAATAAATATAAAAGCATTCATGAATGTA